AAGCCACAACCACCTGGGCTTGATTATCTCTTATGACTCTGTCTCTGTAACAGCTGCCTTCGTTTCTCCGCCCTTCGTTGCCTGGCGTCAGGGAAAAACTCCCTTTGATCTTCCCCACTGCTCCATGCCTCACGTGCCTCCTGGTGGCCAACCAGCTTCTCTGGTCCCTGCTCAGAGTCTGAACCCTGCCCAGGGTCCTCCACATCTTCCATAGCAGACTCATAGAGTCCCTTGCTATCGGAGTCCATCGGCAGCTCCAACAGCTCCTGCTGGGCCACAACACATGGCAGTGAAAAAAGTGACATGACCTTTTTTTCACACAACCATCACGGCATCCCCAGGGTCACACGCATCGAAGTGGCAGTAGTGCCGGTAGCAACCCACCCCTGGTCATCTCCTGTATCAAACCGAGAGCTGTTATATGTGCAGAGGTGTGTCCTAATGTGCCATACATCTCCATTGTTGTGGCTTTTTATGCAGATCTCATACACCAGATGAACACTTTCACCACAGCCAATGCTAGCTCCACCTCTGCGGAGGAGTTTCGTCAGAAGATAGCTGAGGTTGATGCAATGCTGAGGCACATGAAAGCCATGGATTTTAGTTTCCAGAGAGCCATTGCTGTTGAGGAGCGGGATGAAACACAGAATGGTGAGTATGACAGAGAAAGCAAATGGGCTGTGTGAGGGAGCCATTCCCAAGGATGTATCATCTATTGTGTCTTAAGATATTCTGGAATCCAGTTTATTGATATTTGAGAGATGAGGCTTCAGGGAAGACAGACTGGATTCTTAAATTCAAGATATCTTGCAGTTTTGATTTTATTTAAGTTCTAAACCAAATTAGATAAAAGTTGGGTGCTTTTTTAAAAATTTCCTTCTGGTATTTTAGATATCAAGAGCACTCTTTTTTTATGTATACAATGCAAAACTTTATAAGCAGAGAATGTTTTTTTTTTCTTTTAGTTAATAACCTGTCATTTTTTTACTGGCACTGAAGGTGACACATATAATGCTCCCTGTTCTTTTTCTTCCTCACTACAACCCTTTGAGATAATTTATGCTAATCCAGAATAATAGAATAACAGTTAAAAGGGACCTTGGAGGTCTTCTAGTCCAACTCTATATCATACTGGACAAATGATTGTCCAATCTCTTCTTAAAAATCGGCAGCGTTGGAGCACCCACAACTTCTGGAGGAAAGTCGTTCCATTGATTAATGGAACGACTTTCTTCTCACTATCAGGAAATTTCTCCTTATTTCTAGGTTAGTTCTCTGCTTGATTAGTTTCCATCCGTTGCTTCTTCGTCACTTATAAAGCCCTTCATGGTATTGGACCTGGGTACTTGAGAGACCGCCTGCTGCCAATTACCTCCACTAGACCGATTAGATCCCACANTTTGTGGCAGCACCTCAAATATTGGAATACTGCTATCATGTCACCCCTAGTCCTTCTTTTCACTGGACTAGCCATACCCAAGTCCTGCAATTGTATATGATTCACAATTTAGTGTGGTTATAAGTTTGAAGTGTCATTCAATGAATGGTTGTAAATCAAGGATTACCTGTATCGCTTTGGGAAGAAATCAGATTGCAAAAATAAAAAATAAAGCTTGTTGCTAAGAAATTTTCTTTTCAATAGGGATAGTTCTCCATAGATTTGAGCTTAGCAAAGGGAAAGAATAAAACACTATTTTACATCATGCATTCTTGTCTCTTTTGTTTCCAGAAAGTTCAGCAATACACAGTCATCGTTCAGGCCACCGATATGGAAGGGAACCTTAACTACGGTCTCTCGAACACAGCGACAGCAATCATTATGGTGACAGATGTGAACGACAACCCACCCGAATTCACGACGAACAGCGTAAGTATCAATACATCAGCGCAATGATCTATGGACACACAACATGTTTGTAATTCATGGACATTTGATGTGGCTTGTCTCTTGTTTGCTGGCTTGCCAGATAGGGAGCACTTGACAGATAGCGGAGTAGCAGAGATTTTCAGCAAATAAAAATGGAGAGAGGCTGTGGGAAAAATGATTCATGACCAAAGACAGCTACCTGGATACCGCTTTGTTCTGAGGCAGTGAAAAATGGCGGGAAGGAGCCAGCGGAGGGAGAGTGCCAAAAAACTATCGCAGCCTTTACCTCTGTGTGACAAGAAGCTGGTTCTTCATCTCAGGGTGTTTGCACAGAAGATATCAATATTGCCTTTGAACTTCTCTTTTGCACAGTGTGTGTGAATGGCTGAAACTCGTCGGTGCAAGTTATTAAAATGCCAGGCCAAAGCAAAGCATAATAGCTTTAGCCAGGGGAAGTTTTAGTTCGTACTGCACAGGTTTGAGACAACCAACATTTTNCAAGTTTGGGGATCCCTGGACTAAGACAATGTTTCTTGATTTTTAAGATATGTGGACTTCAGTTCCTAGAATTCCCCGTGCTGGCTGGGGAATCCTGAGCATCGAAGTCCACTCTTAAAAGTTCTGCAGGGTGAGAAACAACGTTGGTGGAACATGCGCTCTATCTAGTGGCCATTTCTGGGATAGGAATCTGGTCCTCTGAAAGCAGAAGGACATTTGAACCTCTATCAATTATTGAACCCCCAAATCTGAATGGTTGGGTAAATTTTTCCAGATGAAGGGAAATCTCCCCGGAGAAATATGGAACTCCCAAATTCAGTGAGACACTCCAAACATTTATGTGGTTCTGATTGTGGTGGTGTACAACATTTCAGTGGTGTTCAGGCCTTTTGTTTATCCAAATCTTTGAGTACAAATTATTTTCATTTCTTTAACTAACCATCATTTCTCAATCTTCCCTACTTCATCCCCAACAAACAGGAAGAATTTTAAGAAACATTGGGGCAGGCAGAAATAAATCCTTCCAGTGGAGAAATTCCTCATTTCTGGCAAAGAGTTTGCTCTGTGATTTAAAGGAGATTCTATTGCTTTACAAGAAAGATAGACCAATAAACAGCTAGTCCTCAATTTACAAACCACTCACTTAATGACCGTTCAAAGTTACAACGGCACTGAAAAAAGTGGCTTATCGTTGTTTATCACAGTTACGACCCTTCCGGCATCACCGTGGTGATGTGATCAAAATTCAGGAGATTGGCAACTGACTCATATTTACGACGGTTGCAGTGTCCCTAACCCCTTTTGCGACCATCTGACAAGCCCCCCAAAAATAAAAATAAACCATCTACAGTGAGTCACTTAACAACTGTGGTAAGAAAGGTTACAAAATGAGACAAAATTCACTTAACCTCTCTGTTTCACTTAGCAACAGGGATTTGGGGCTCAATTGCAGTCGTAAGTTCGAGGACTACCTGTGCAACCGTGGAACGTATGATAATTTCCCCCTTTTTTGTGGGGGGTAGCTTGGCCTGCTTGCAGGATTGTGTGGCTGTACGGCATCCTTATCAAATTGGAGACCATTTGGACTGCCATTGGTCAGAAATGGTGCAGGGTCTCCTGCTTGGGCGGGGGGTCAGACTAGATGACCTACAGGGTCCCTTCCAACTCTGTTATTCTATATTCAATGGAACGGAAGTTGCCTTCGGAAGTTGTGGGGGGTTCATCCCTGGAAGCTTTCAAGAAGAGACTGGGCTGCCATCCGTGTAGGGTCTCCTGCTTGGGCGAGGGGTCGGACTAGATGACCTACAGGGTCCCTTCCAACTCTGCTAATCTCTAACCCACCCAGGATGGACAGATTTCTCAATAAAACACAAATCCGTTCATCTCTATTCGTCATTTTATATGTACCACCTTTTTCTCCTTTGTGAGCAGCTGTCCATGAGAAATGACATCAGGCCCTATTTGAAAGAAATATTATATTCCAAAATATGTTTAGGTTTGGTATATTCTGAGCTCTGTTACATATTTAAGAGATATTACCCCGTTTATTATGGGTTTTATACTTTGTAGCATTCCTAACCTTCTCTAATTAACAAACTTTGATATGAAAATGAATAAAATTGTTGTCACAACAATCCTGTATCGTGAAATTGCTTTTAAGTTCCTGAAGTAAATTCAAATTTTCCTTAGCAACAGCAGCTGAGGGGATTGTTACATCTGTCCTACAGATAATACTTGATTTATAATTCATTTAGCAACCATTGAAAGTGTCCAGGGCATTGAAAATAGGGATTTACAGCTGGTCCTCACACTTATGACCATTGCAGCATTCCTATAGTCATATCATAAAAATGCAAGCAGTAGGTCTGTATTTACGACGGTTCAACTGTCCCAGGATTATGTGATCACTATTTGGGACCTTCTCAGCCGGCTTCTGGCCAGCAAAGCCACTGGAAGAAGCTGGATTCACTTAATGACCGAATGATTCATTTAACAATTGTAGTCATTCACATAGCAACCATGGTGGGGAGGGGGAGTTCAGAAAAATCAGGTGGAAAATTAGTTAACAATCACTTTGCTTAAGCAAGGGAAATCGGGGTTCCAATTGTGGCCGTAAGTTGAGGACCATCTGTGGAGTTGCCATCCTATCCTCTTGCCGAATGATGGCATTCTGAGACTGGATTAAAAGCATTTGCCGCGTTTCGGCCATTTTCCTTTGGTTCCAGATCACAATTCTTTCCAAACTCGGGCCATTTTTAAGGCAGGGGGAACTTCAACTCCCAGAATTCCCTAGTCAGCCAGCGGCCATGTTGGCTGGGGGAATTCTGGGAGTTGAAGTCCGCCCATCTGAAATTGGGAAGAAAAAAAAAAAAACACTGTTCTAAATCTTCGTTTTCCGTTCTTCCCCAGTTTGTGGGAAACCCAAATTTTCCAGAAGTTCGCCGCACCGGATCATCCAAGGACGATACGCCCAGAGAGGAATTTCCCCATGGATCGCCATGCTCCAAAGGAACGGACGGCCCTTCTGTGGAGGGTCACTCATAGGTATGATTGTGTAAGGGTCTCCTCCTTGAACAGGGGGTTGGACTAGATGACCTCTGAGGTCCCTGCCAACTCTGTCCTCCTATGATTCTGTAAAGTTAGAGATTTCTGGGTCATATTACGCCAGCAGAACAGGGGGAGGGGAAACACCAGGAAAAGGGGGGGGGGTTTGAAATAGAGGTACTCCTCGACTTACAACCATACGTTTAGTGACTTTTCAAAGTTACAATGGCATGGGAAAAAGTGACTTAGGACTGTTGTTCACACTTATGACCGTTTGCAGCCTTCCCGGGGTCACTTGATCAAAATTCAGATGCTTGGCCGCTGATTCATACTTCCA